TTACCGAGAGAGCTCCCTGCTCCGCTAAAAACAGAATCTGGAGCAAGCTTGAAGCTAAGTGGCAACCAGAGCTCCGCGCCAGGGACGGGTGAGGAGGGGGCAGTGGGGACTGTGGCTAAGGGAGTTCGGATCCAAGGGCATGGCTGGGCCCGGGCTCCAGCCTGGGGCCTCGCAGGAAGGCCGGTTAGCAGATCTCAAGATGTTTCCAGAGAAGTCGGAAGTTTCCATTTCAATATGAGATCAACTGCTTTTTATAGATGGGCCCAAGTTATTTTTACAAAACCAGGGGTCGATGAACCACGTGCAGCCCAGTCACCAGCTGCAGCCCGCACGCTGGTCCGTCCGGCCGTCGCCCCGCCCGCCCCTGCCCAGGCTGGGAATTCCAGGCTCTCCTCCCTGTCCCATGCCAGCGTCAGCTCCAGACCCCCAGTGTGCAAACCCAAACCCCGAGGGGTCCCAGAGGCCACGCCAGCCCCGCCCCCAGGAGACGGCAGATGGGGCTTTTTCATACTGGGGTGGCCACGCAGGCTCACGGTTGGGCGTGGCCTTCTTTTGCATGAACAAAGCTACTGTCTCCCCGTAACCTGCGTGTTTTTCCATAAGGAACAGCTTTTCCAGGCTCCCCCCACCCCGCACATTCGTTATTCTGGAGTAATTCCAGACTTACAGCACAGGCCCAGCTAAGCCAACGGCTTCCTGCCCTGTGCCTTCCCCCAGTCGCCCCTTACGTTAGCGTCTCACGTGGCCCAGATCCATTCGTCACAGCCGGGAACCCAGCCCTGGCGACCGCCGGCAACGAAACCCCAAGCTCCTGTTGTATTTTCTCCAGCCTTTCTTCTTCTTCTTCTTTTTTTTTTTTTTGTTAATCAAAAAAAGTACTTTTATTGACTTCAGAGAGGAAGGGAGAGGGAGAGAGATAGAAACATCAATGATGAGAATCATTGATCAGCTGCCCCACACTGGGATCGAGCCCGCAGCCAGGCACGTGCCCTGACTGGGAATCGAACCGTGACCTCCTGGTTCATAGGTCGATGCTCAACCACTGAGCCACACCGGCTGGGCTTGCCTTTCTCTGTTAGGATTAATGTAGCCAATATGGCTATCTTCCTTAGTCCTAGGCACCAGGCCAGGCAGTCACTAGAGTGGGAGCACAGGGCGGGGTGGGGGGTGGCTGTGGGGACCCTGAACTCTGGCATGAGGACCCAGGGGCAGGGAGGAACAGAACCAGCTTCACGGGATGCGGGTCCCCACGCTCAGAAGGGCCCGCAACTTTGCTTAATGCCCTGCAGCTGCCGCCTTCAAGTTCTTCCGAATGTTTGCACGAGGCCTGCGGTTTCATTTTGCCCCGGGCCCTGTATATGGCCGGTCCTGGGTAGTGGTCTCAGCTGGGGGCAGGGGCCTGGGGAAGCCTGTCCCCACAGCCGTGTCTTTGACATCTGGGGAGGGGGCTTAGAGAGTTCTAGAACCAGCACTCTGACCCCCACCCCAGACCCTCCCCCTGGCCCTTCCTCAGGCCATGCCCTCCCCTTCCCCACCCCCTCCCTTTTCCCAGCTGGTCCCTGAAGCTGAATTAGTGCCTTAGGCAGCAGCAGGTGGGTTTTCCCCAAACAGTTGGTCTGTTGGTCGAGGCAGATTCTGACCCAGAGCGTGTGTGTTGGGGGGAGGCTGTGCATCTGATTTGGGGTCACAGGCAGGGCTGACAGCCCCAGGGACAGAAACCAGGGCCTTGAGGTGCCGCTCCCCAGCTGCAGAGCTGGGGAGGATGCTGCAGGTGGGCGCCTGGGGCCGAGCACACCGCACCTGGGCG